TTCCGGGCATATCATACGTACCGAGGGAAACAAACTGACTCTGTCCTCCACTTGGTGGCCACAGTTGAGTCCCCCCCCCTAGAATACAGACTCTATTAGTTGGGCTGTATATATGTGTAGTCGAACTGCACTGAGCCAAAAGATTGCATTATGAGCAAGACGTTGTCATATGCCGTCTAATCCTGAGAATTGCGAGACAATTCGATTCTCGAGACCAGTTTGAGACCACAAAACAGAAATTTTTCTCAGAGCGGGAGCTTACTACTAAATCTTTATATCAGGGATGCCATCTACATAGTCTGAGTCTACGTACATGTTCAGGAATTAGAAGCCCTCCTACTTCAAGGTGAAACCAAAAAAAATTTAAACCTACGCTTTATTCAGACAGGCGATGTAGACCACAAACAGCATCATAAATGTGCAGAGAACGGAAAAAGCCGGAAAGACAATATTCGAGTTTTCCTGAAAATGGAAAACTGAAAAGAAAATAAAACAGAGAAGGGAAAAACAGGATGACAAAAGTCGTGCGACAGTTGAAATGAAAGTTCGGACTATATATTTTTGATAAATTTATAGAATGAGGTCGCCAATCCGCAAATAAATCATCATTTTCTTACTCAGCTTCTGGAAAGGAAAAGAAAGGAAAGGAATGGGTAGCTGCTTATCGTGGTCCTAAAACAATGGGTACCCAATCTTACTCTTCCAAAAGTTTGGCGGCAGCAATGAGAAGAAGCGGTCGGCCTCTGTTTCCGTGGATTGTGGAAGTCAAGGAGGGGCAGAACGACAGTGATGGAAGTCGTTGTTTGATTGAGGGCAGTTCAATTCTTTTGGAGCGGAGTCTCAACTTTGTACCTACGAGGAACGGTAAGTGCTACAGCTGTACATAGGATTTAGCTACTGGAAGGGCGCCACAGAATGAGTTGATTGAGAACAGGAAAAACTGAACTTAATGAGTAAGGACAACAAGCGATTCGATCAAGTGCATGAGAGAAGCATTGAAAACTTCTCGACACTCTGCAGACAGATCACAGCTGGGAATCTCAGGCATCTCAGATTTGTCGGCCATCAAAGATCAGGGACACGGCTGCTCATGATAGTGAGTCGGAGATCAGCAAGCGAAACGCCGCACAATTAGGAGACAGCCGTTGGCCCAGGGTGGCACTGATTGCATCTCAGAGGGGTAGAGGCGATCACAAGAGCAGTAGCCTTTGTTGTTCAGGAGGGCTGTTGTAGTCAGAGGGTGGAATACACGTCCAAATCATGAAGAAGCAGGCTGGTCACAACGGCTGCGACGTTGCGGTGTCCGATAAGAGTTAGGAAATTTCAGGTAGTAAAGGTACAATT